ATTTTTTATGGCTGAGTAGTACTCCATGGTATACATATACCACATTTTATTAATCCACTCATGTATTGATGGGCACTTGGGTTGTTTCCACCACTTTGCAATTGTGAATTGTGCTGCTATAAACATTCAAGTGCAGATGTCTTTCTTATAGAATATCTTTTTTTCCTTTGGGTAGATACCCAGTAATGAGATTGCTAGACAAAACGGTAGTTCTACTTGTAGCTCTTTGAGGTATCTTCATATTACTTTCCACAGAGGTTGTACTAATTTGCAGTCCCACCAGCAGTGTAGGAGTGTTCCTCTCTCTCCCCATCCATGCCAACATTTATTGTTTTGGGACTTTTTGATAAAAGCCATTCTCACTGTAGTTAAGTGATATCTCATTGCAGTTTTGCATTTCCCTGATGCTTAGAGATGTCGAACATTTTTTCATATGTTTGTTGGCCATTAGTCTATCTTCTTTTGAAAATTTCTTGTGCATGTTCTTTGTCCACTTTTTGATAGGATTGTTTGATTCTTTTTCTTGCTGATTTTTCTGAGTTCTAAATAGATTCTAGTTATCAGCCCTAAAATTGGATGAGTACATGCGAATATTTTCTCCCATTCTGTAGGTTGTCTATTTGCTCTAATGATAGTTTTCTTGGCTGTGAAGAGGCTTTTTAATTTCATCAAGTCCCATTTATTTATTTTTGTTGCTGCTATGATTGCTTTTGGGGTCTTCTTCATAAATCCTATGCCTAGGCCAATGTCTATAAGTGCCTTTCCAATGTTTTCTTCCAGAATTCTTGGTGTTTCATTCCTTGGATTTAAGTCTGTTATCCACTGTGAGTTGATTTTTGTGAGGGGTCAGAGTTGTGGATCCTGCTTCAGTCTTCTACATGTGGGTATAAATGGTGCTGAGAAAATTTGATAGCCTCATATATATTCTATTTATTTGCAGAGACTTTCTATTAATTCATCTACTTCAGCCATGTTTGTAATTGCTCATCAGAGCATTTTTATAATGTCTGCTTTAAATTCTTTGTCAGGTCATTCTGACATCTGTGTCATCTTGACATTAGTGTCTGTTGATTGTCTTTTCTCATTCCAGTTGATATTCTCCTGTTTCTTTGTGTGAGGAATTGTTTTCAATTGAAACGTGGGCATTTGGGTCTTGTATTATGTGATTCTGAATTTTGTTTAAGTCTTATGTTTCAGCAGGCATCCTCTCATGCTGTTCAAGGAAGGAAGTACAAGAACCACCTAGCAATTATACTTCTAAATGGGGTTTAAGTCTACATTCCCCACTCAGCATCCATTGGCAACCAGGGGGAAGGAACTGCTCATTATTGATGGGTATAGGTGGGAGTTCTTGCTGCCCACTAAGACTCTGCTGATACCACCCTGGCTAGAAGAGGCACAGGTGATCCATTAATGTTCTTCACGTGGCCACCACTGACATCATGGAGGAGACCTCATTACTTCTTTATAGTAATGGAAGTCCTTGCTCCCACTCTGCCTTTGCTGCTGGTGATAGAGTTGGGACCTTACTTTTATCTGTGATGTTTGTTTGGAGTAAAACAAACAGTTATTATCTAAAAATTTTCTCTCTTCATGTATTGCCCCTTTCCTGGTCCTTTGTTAGAGAAAACAGGCTTTTATTGGGGAAGTTTTATGTTTTAATTTCTTTTTCCCATTTCTAACCACTGGCATTTCTGCATTGCTGGGCTATCTTCTTCTGTCCACATGGCATAGTCTTCTTATGTTTGTTTTATATATAATTTCCAGAATTTTTAGTTATACTTAGTAAAATGAATAGGGGAAAGCACTTTTACTCCCTCTTTCCTGAAGTGCAAGTTGAGCCTATTGTTATTAGTGATATTACTCCATCAAACCAGCCACGATCACTTCAGCAGTAGTATAAATGGACACTTGCAGCAGATGCCTCCTTTACCAACCTCTTCCCAACCCACCACCTGCATGTACGGACAAAAGACAATGGAGATTTGGGACAGGCCTCATGGAAAAGGCTGGACAAATCAAAGGATACAAAGGAATTGAACCATTTTGACTAGGCAGAGGGGAGAAACAAAAACATGGTAGAGTTAGGGTCGGGGAGAGAGCTGCCCCATGAGGAGACAGAGGGAACATAATAAGCAAAGTACTTTGGTTGGTAACAAACATGAAGTATTTTACAGACAATTCCGGAGGCAGTGCAGAGATTTTCAACCTTTATATTTATCAATAAAATATTCTATTAAACATCAAGCTCTATTTTCAGTATTAGGGATAGGAAAAAAAAAAAACAATTATAGCCATTGCCTTGTAGGAGTTAACCATAGTAGGAGGAAAGATCTCTCACTGTGTTATAATTGTCAATGGGCTTATGTGGTTGCTGTGATGCCAAAGGAGGGAGCAGAAAAGCATTTTTTTAGCCTGGAGGGAAGAAAAGGTGCATCTTAGGGTCTGGAAATTATTTCTTAAAGAAAGTTACAAAATATATAAGAACTGGAGAGAAAAGGGACTCATGGTAGGGGCTACAGTAGAAAAATAAAAGAAATTTGAGATAGAGGGTATAGCTCATCAAAGGCAAGGATATATGAGGCAACGTGGAAAAATAAATACAGTTTTGAATCTATGAAGACTACACCCATAAAAAGTGCTTCCCACTATTTAGCATGTAGAGAAATCTCCTGGAAGTATGTAAAAACAGAGATTACTGGTCCTCAACCTTACCCTAAGACTGTGATGCATAAAATCTGGTTCAGTGACCCAGAATTTCCAGCAAGTTCCCAAGTGACACTAAATGCTGATGATTTGAAAAACATACTTTGAGTAGGCTTGACTAGCAAGGACCTAGACAACAGTGAAATGCCTTCCAAGGCAGTCCAGTCTAGGTGCCCACCACATCTTCAGGGGATACAGTTGTAGACTTAATTCACACTCCAAGTTATCACATCAGGCATCTCCATGTTACCAACATAATAAAATTCATTCTGAGTGAAGTATAATACAGAAACTCTGGCAAAAGTTTGAGAGTCACTTTATAAAGAAATGGAAAGAGAAATTGTTAAGCAAATGTGTTAAAGGAGATTAGAAGAGGAATTATTTATCTGTTAAGGGATTTGGTTGCTTTAGGTGTGGTCTCATTAAAAAAGCATATACATGTGCTAATTATAAATCATTTTTATTTGCTCATTAAAGGAAGCCTTTCACCAGGTGATACTTGGTTAGCCTGTTTCTGCTTCTTTGTGAGCCTCAGAAAACTCTAATCATTTTTCTTCCCACATGTTTTCTAGTGCTATTCTCCGAGGTATACAGCAATCATGAAGCTTGGTCACCACACAGACACCTGGAAATATTCTCTTAACAATTGGGGAGGGGAGGTAGTAAGCCAAAGTCTTTGAACTATCTACCATTTCATTTCCTGGTTAATTATTGCTAAGGGTATTTTCAAAGAGATATACACACTCTTTTTGTAATTTGGTGTGTTGATTAAGAATTCATGGCCTCCTGATGTTTCTCTGCAGTCTGAAGATTTTTCTCTCAGCTGATGTTGTCAGGTGAATGTTGTGAAAATATGTTTAGGGCACTGTAAATGATGTCCCAGTGGGAAAACACAGCCTGAACTGATGAGTATGAAGGGCTATTAATGAGATAAACTGTTAACGGGATTTTTACGGGACATAGGCAAGCCAGACATTTTGAATCCCAAATTGTATGTATCTTTTGAAGATGTTACTATTTCCAAAGGCAGAATTTATTACTTAAAGGTATTCAACATAATGTACCCTTAAAGCATTCTTACTTCAATACTGCTGGATAGTATGTGACTCTGGTAGGCATTGGGAAGATATAACTTCTGTTTAACAAACAGGCTCATGAGGAAAAAGGAAGGGTGTCTTCTTAGACTGTCCACATTATATTGACAGGGCCAATGCTATGTACACAGAGGACATGACTTGGAAACATTTGATAGATGAACAAATAGTGACTGAGTGAAACAAAACATAAGATAAAATTTCATGCCATTTTCACTGTCCACATGTGCATGGCCTGATCATCTATTACATGAAAATTTAATTTATAAAGGAGAACATAAGTATCTAATTTATAATCAGCAAGAGAATAAACAGATTAGGGAAGTAATACAAAAGTCCAAGAAATAGCTCCAAATTTAAGATCATTTTCCAAAGTTTTCCATGAACCACAAAATAATATTTAATCTGTTAAACAGTTTTACCTGTCTGCTATTATGCAATGCCACAAGCTTTCTTCAGAAGTAACTATATTTTAATGCCATCTAATTTTGCTGATGCACTTTAAACCATTAACTGGATATACTGCTGTTTATAGCATATATTATTTAAAGCAAGAACAAATAATGATTGTGCTGAGTTACTCTTAATACTTATTAATACCTGGAGATACACCATAAGGAGCCTGATTGGAGATAATGACCTAAAGTCCCAGATTAAAAGTAATGCGTGGCATTATGAAATATGATGGCAATTACCACAACTCTAAATGAAGATCCCATTATGATAGAGTCTGTGCTTGGTTTTCTTCTCCAACCACTCCCATGAAACTTGATAACAGCTAGAGAGGGCTCAAAGTATGAAACTACATGTTCTCTACCAACACTGAGAGAGATTTGCCATGACACATAAACAAAAGGTAATGAAAGGTCCTACACCTGCACTAGAATGGGCTTCTGGTCCATGCTAGAAAGAAAGCATTATTCTTGAGTTTTTACTGTCCAAGTTGATATTTACATGTCACAAACAGGCAATTGGTCTGCTGTTTTATTCTCTCTATATTAAGCAATCTCCTTCAATGCATGTGTTTTCCTTAAATAAACTAAGTATTTTCTAAAAGTTTTCAGTTGGGGTTTTCTTCTCATTGGCAGACCTGCAGAGCAAAGCAATCTGTTGTAGAAGTCTGTATCTTCATTTCCATTGAAAAAGGAATCTGTGTTTCTCAGTTGGAAAAGGATCATATACATGGGAGAATACCACCAACGCCATCAACTGAAGTCGGTTTAGAATTAATTGAAATGTGATTTTTTTCAAAAAACTTACATCTAATAAACCCCAAATGAATAAGGAAGACTTACTACAATCCTCAACAAGATCATTAAAAAGTAAAGGGCATGATGTAGAACAACTAGAATTCTCCTATATTGCTGATAGAGATGAAATTGGCACAATCACCTTGAAAAACTGTTTAGTAATATCTGCTAAAACTATATATATATATATATATGTATATATATATATATACCATATGATATGAAGTTCTATTCCCAACAAAACAAATATGCTTATGTCCACAGATAATGTTCACAGAGTAACATTCAATATAGTCAAAAACTGGAAACCAAGTTAAATGTCCATCAACAGTAGACCGAATAAGTAACTTGTTCCATATTCATACAATGGAATACTACATAATGATGAAAAAATATTGCCACATGCAACAATATAGATAATATGGAGTAAAAGGATTCACATGCAAAAGAATAAATATAATATGACTCCATTTATATAAAATTCAAAACCAGGCAAGATTAATCTATGTTGCAAAAGGTCAGGAAAGCAATTGCCTTTGGGAAAGGGTATTGACTGAGATGGGGCATGAAGGAGTCTACTGAGATGTAAATGTTTTATATCTCAAAGTACGTAAAAATTCATCCATCTGTATATACTTCAGATATGTACATCATACTATTTGTAAATAATACTTTATTAAAAAAGAAAAATAGAAAAGCAACATTCTTAAACACTGGCAAGACATGTCTTTAACTGGTTAAGATATAATGCTGTAGCGTCAGTTTTTCTAAGGGACTGATAATAAGGGACATTAAGAAACACACTAAACAGTGCATTTGATAGTTTTTGCAAAAGACCCAAATGTTATTTACTTAAATACTTACATGCAATAACATATTTACGTTTAATTTTTAAGAAAAAGAGACTTTCATTCATTGTTCATTTATTCATATAACAAATAAGAATTTACTATTATCCAAGAATTTTATTTATTCAGATAAATGTATTCATTTACTTTTTATTTAGGTATAAGGAAACTAATAAGTAGTGCTTAAATCTTTGAAGTATTTCATACTAGGTGTTTGTTAAAGTTTCATTCCTTTTTTTTACATTCCATACTCTACAAAGCTTTTAGGTTGAAGAGTAGAGAATATAAACATATTCAGACACACCTACACCATTCTCTCTCTCTCTCTCTCACTCTCTCTCTCTCTCTCTCTCTCTCTCTTTCTCTCTCACACACACACACACACACACACACACACACACACACACATACGTATCCACACATATATACACATGGAAATGGGAAAGAAAAGTGAAAAGTTTTTGCCATTAAAAAAAACCAGTTTAGCTATCATTGTGTCATGTGGGCCTGAGACTTTTAATACAAATTTTTCCTAAAGGCCTAGATCAAAGACTTGACTTTTAAGGCCAGCTCCATGGGCCATGTTCCCTGCTTAATAATTTTGTTGTTTATCTCATTGTGGCAGATGGCAGTCCTTGATTTCCAGTGGTCTGTGTAAAGTGTACAAGGGAGAAATGTAAAAGCTGGGCAATAACACAATCAGCCATCATTTGCTGGTTTGACTCCCAGCACAATTAATATATAATAAATAATAAATATAATAAATTTATTGAATGAGGCATAAAATCATATTAGGCCTTATATCCCATACAAAGCTCTCATTTGGGCTCTCTTTGGTATATAATTCAGGTTGACGTGTCAATGAAATATTGAAAAAAGTAATTATATTCATGAGTTTCTAGAGAAATTTCCAGCTGAGAATGAGACCAGATCTGTGTGTGCATGTGTGTGTGTGTGTATGAGAGAGAAAGAGAGAGAGAAAGAGAGAGAGAGAGAGAATAAAAGAAATCCATTTATGTTATTAACTTATATTTCATGTTATTATTGGTTACTAATTGAGCACCTACTACATGTGGATATTCAGTGAAGTGGGTCTCAATGCAGCTGGTTTGTGGAGTAAGCAGTTAATTGCACATAGGAGAGAATTATTAAATTGAGTCTGAGATTATGGAAACAATGGGGACTTTGGTATCAATTTTGTAAATCAAATTTCTAAACTTCCAACTCTTAATCTTTTCATTCCTTTCACACTTAACAATACCAGATTAACACAGATAATTATAATTATATTCTACTGCCATTTTGATGACTCCTCCATCTGCTTTGCTAGCTTAATTTTCTCTGGCCTAGCAGCAAAGCCTATGATAGGGACACTGAAAGAAGGAGCAAATTTGTGGAAAGAGACTATTAGTTCTATTTAAAACATGTTAAATTTGAGGTATATATGAAGGGAAATTCAGGTGAAGGTCAAGTGAAATGGGAACACACATGTAGCAATCAATATTAGAGTAACAGTGGTCACATCAGCAGGAAAGGCAGAAAAAGGATATCCACAATGCCAGTTCCCCATAAAATCAACAAAAATACTAGCAAAAATTGTCAAAATCAATGTTTTCAGAACTCTGGAAATTAATAAAAAGTTTGCAATAGTTTGAAGAGCATTTATTAAGAAAAAATTACTAAATCTCATTAAGAACAGTGAGCTTTGGAGTGTTTTAACTTTTTTTTTTATTTTGGCATATTATGGGGGTACAGATTTTAAGGTTTCAATAAATGTTACAAGAAGGGGAAGAAGCAAACTGGAGTGTTTTAACTTTTTATATTCCCATCCCCACAACCTAGCTGACACCAGAGGAGGCAGAATGCTTTGGTAAGTCCACTGAAAACACCAGTCTCAAAGAATTGTCATTAATTGATCTATCTGGCAGTTACCTGAAAACCTTCATGCTCAGGGCTTGTCTTTTTGTTCTCACCCCAAGAGAAGCAGTCTCTAAACCTTCTAGACCTATGATGCTCAACATGATAGCCACCAACCATACACAGATACTGAGCACTTGAAATGTGGCTAGTCTGAACTGAAATGTATTGTAAGTATAAAAATAATTTTGAAGGCTTAGTATGGGGAAAAATATAAAATATCTTATTAATAATTTATGTATTGGTTAAGTGTGAAATAATATTTTGAACATATAGGATGAAATAAAATATATTATTGAAATTAGTTTCATCATTTTTTACTTTATGTGGCTACAAGAAAACTCTAAATTACATGTTGCTTGCATTATACTTTAATTTAACAGCACCTACTCTAGGTAAGGAAGAGCCCCTTTTTACAGTGTTCTATAGTTATTTCTTTACTAGCATTTGTTTTATCTTTTAAAATTGCTAGATTGTCTCCTGCACTAGACTGTAAGCACCTTATGAACAAGAGGCTGTCTTGGTCAACAGAGTAATTCCAGAGGTAAGAGTACTAAAATACACAAAGTTGATCCTCATTATTTTTGGATTACATATTTGCAAATTTGCACACTTGGTAAAATTTACTTGTAATCCCCAAATCAATATTTGCAGTGATTTTGAAGTCAACTGTGAATATGTACAGAGATTTGAGCCATCCAATACACATTTTCCTAGCTGAGGTCAAACATAGCTTCTTGTTTCAGCTGCCAAACTTTAAACAAGTGTTCATTTCAGTCTATTTAGTGCCACATTTTTTTTAAATATTTTTATGCTTTTTGTTGATGATTTCACTGTTTAAAATGGCCCCCAAGCACCAGGCTGAAAAGCTGTCTTGTGTTTCTAAGCAAAAAAAAAAACCCCAAAAAAACAAAAAAAAAGAGTATGAAAGAGTATGGTGTGTCTTACAGAGGAGATATGTTAGATAAGGTATCTTCAGGTATGAATTACAGTGCTGTTGGCCATGAGTTCAATGTTAATGGGTCAACAATATATAGTAAATAAGGTGTCTTTTAAACAGAAACACATAAAATAAGATAACATATTGACCAGTTAATGAAAATGTGTCCAGAGGCTTACAGGAACATAATCCTATAATTCCCCAAGGAGCAATGGTTCAGTATTTGCTAATTCATTGTTTTAATGACTTCAGGGGAATCAACTGTATTTGTCAAATGAATGAAACCTAATCATTTGATTCCAAATCCAAATCTTATGTAAATGCAGTATATGGTGGTAGTTAGAGCAGTGACTCTGAAGCCAAACTGTCTAGATTTCAATCTTGGCTCTCTGACATGCTAGCTCTATGATTTGGGGCAAATCACTTAACTTTTTGTCTTTGTCTTTTTCCATAACTAAAACTACAGATAAAAGTATAGTTGTTAATATTCACCAGGGGCTTGGTGTGGGGAAAGGGGACTGACCACAAAAAGTCACAAGGAAACTTTTGGAAGCTAAAAGGAATAAATTTTACTTTATATAAATTATAAATTAAACATGAGGTTAAAAAAATAGAGTAGCAGTCAAAATTAAAGGAGTAATATACATCATTTAGTACACTACCTGTGTATACAAATACTATTTAAATATATATTAGCAATCATTCTAGAAACAAGAATAGATAAAGCTTAGGTGGTATAAGGAAAAGCAGGGTAAAGTCATCAATGGGGGTTCTACTCTGGCTCTTATATTAATTAGAGGCTGGGTACATTTCATGGGAGGTCACTTACTGTGAAGGTTAAATTGGACTAATGTGTGAAATATATGTGTAAACTGTTGTCATAGGAATGTGAGAAATAGGATTATTCATGAGTCAACAATACAAAATCAGAGGACCACATAAATTGTGGTGTGGAGTAGGAAGCAATTTCCTAGGTCACCTCTCCAAGGTGGGAGAATGAGGTGGGTTGTAAAAAGGAACTGTGAAAAGGAGAGTGCATCTCCTATCCAAGTCTATTAACTCTAGGTTGGTTTTGAAGACAATCCAACCACTCTAATGTGCTATGGACAAACCCCAACCCCTAAGGAATTCCAGTGCCAGGAGGAAAGTAGGTCTGAGTTGATAGAATACCTTTCCAGATGGACAAAGTGGTAGGAGTCAGATACCCTTTGCTTCCACAATTCCATAACAGTCTCTGGTGTGAGAAGTGTGTTAAGTCATTTCACTGCTGCTTTTAAGTTCATGGATGCTTTGGGAGTTTCCACACCTATGAGCACTGCTGACTCTAGAGGGGCGCCTAGTAGCAGTCACTGGCAGAAACTCACGATAAGGTGGCTGCGGTCCCTCGTGGAACACACAGTGCAGAGCCACATAATAACCTGAGTTCTTCTTCCAGAAACAATGATGGGTTCAACTTCAAGAAGGGCTGTGAACTGAACCAGAAGCTTGAACCCAAAGTTTCCTCCACAGGCATCCAGGACACCCACTGTGTGTGCCTTGCCAATTCTGATGACGGTCATGTGACAACTGCCACACACCTGATGGTAGGGGCCACCGAGCATATGGATTGGTTCTCATTAATGTATACTGGGACCTGAATACAACAAATCTAAAAGTTGAAGGGAGCAAGTTTTCTTTCTGATGATTTTACCCTCAGCCAGACGCTAGAAGTGCTCTCCACACAGGAAGTGCACTAATCTGCCAAGCTTGTCTTTGTTTGACCTGACCCAGAATTCACTCAGTGCAAACAGTGCAGACAAATCCCTGCAGGCATTTGTGAAAACAATCATCAGCAATTGCTGAACAAAGCAGCTGCCTGAAGTTGTGATAACAATTGAAGCATACAAGAACTTAGCCAGAAAACATAAATAATAAGAGAACTAGATATCTGTAGGGGTCTTTGAAAAGCTCCACCATATTCCTAGGAATCTAGAAATCCATGTACATACATAGGATTTTGTGCATACCCAAAGCTGTGCTTATACCCAAGACCCGAGAAAGCTCCAAGCACTCACCTTTAGCTGACATTGAGGCTTTGCACAAGCAGGAAGTGAAGGCTATTATAGGGTTGTAAACTTCCTGGCTGAGTGTTGGCCCCATGGGCCAAAACAAATACAGAGCCTCTCTGCAAAGACTGGGACAATTTTTCATTCTAGGCATTTAAGGAAATCTCAGTCCAATCATTCACTGATCACTAAGCTAACAGAATAGAAAGTTTTATGACAAAGAATATAGATTTTACAGAATAAATTCACAGGAGTCACTAATCAAACAAATAATAACAACTACAAGTAGCAGCAACAACAAACTCTGGGGAGAAGGGAAAATCTGATTTTGAGAGTTGCCACAACCTATTACTTAAAGTATCCAGTTTTCAACAAAAAAAATTATGTGACATGAGAAGGAACAAGAAAATATAGCCCATATACAGGAAAAGAGCAGTGAATAGAAACTATCCTTGAGGAAACCAGACATTGGACTTGCTAGACAAAAATTTAAATCAACTATTTTAAACATGTTCAAAGAACCAAAGGAAATCACATCTAAAGAACTAAAAGAAAGTATGAGAATGATGTCTGACCAAACAGAGAAGATCAAAAGATATATAAATAACTCTATGGTCCAGTCCTGTAGAGTCTAAGAAGTCCAAGAGTCTTCTTTCATTTCAGCACATTTTCTTTGTTTTCTTTGGTCTCAGCTGGCGATTTTTCTGATGATATAATCCTATCTATATGCATGGCTTCTGTTGAGATGGCTGATTAGGTTCATGCTTCACAACCACATTTTAGTTTCAAAAATATAAATAGGTTGGAAGTAAAAGAATGGAAAAAGATATACTATGTAAATAGTAACCAAATGAGAGCCAGAATGTCTATACTAATATCAGATGAAATTGAGTTTATAATGACAAAGGTTGTTACTAAAGACAAGGAACATTATATGAGGATAAAGTGTCAATTCATCAAGAAGACATACCGATTCTAAACATGTATGCATATAACAACACAATCCAAAAATACATGAAGGAAAACCTGACTGAATCAAAGGGACAAATAGACAATACAACAATTAAAATTGGAGAATTCATATCCACTTTTCAATAACAAATAGAACAAGTATCAGAAAATCCACAAAGAAATAGAAGACTTGAGTACCATTATAAACCAATTAGATCTAAAAGACATCTTTAGTACACTCTACCCAACAACAGCAGAATACACATGCTTCTCAGGTGCACATGGAACATTCTTCAGGATAAACCATATGTTAGGCCATAAAATAAGTTTCAGTAAATGTAAGTGGATTAAAATCATATAAAGTATGTCTTCCAAGCATAATGGAATAATATTATAAATTAATGAGAAGAAATTTGTAAGATTCACAAATATATGGAAACTAAAAGACACATATTTAAATAACAAAGGGTCAAAGAAGAAATCACAGGGAAATTAGAAAATACTTTGAAATGAATGAAAACAAAAATACACATACGAAAATATATGAAACACAGTGAAAACAGTGCTTATAGGGAAATTTATAAATAGTTGTAGTCAAATGAAGAAAGGTAGAAAATCAATTATCTACACTCCTACCTTAAGATGCTAGAAAACGAAAAACAACCTAAACTCAGAGCAAAGAGAAGGAAGGAAATAATAATGATTAAAGCAAAAATTAATGAAACAGAGAATAGAAAAACAATGGAGAAAATCAATGAAATCAAACTGGGTTCTTTGAAGTGATCAAGAAAATTAATAAACCATTAGCTATACTGACCTAATATAAAAGAGGAGACTCAAATCCTTAAAATCAGTAAACAAATAAAAAAGGAACATTACTACCTACAACCAAAATAAAAGGAATTGTATGGGACTATAATAAAAAACAGTGTGTCAATAAATTAGATAACTTACATGAAATGGACAAATTCTTGGAAAGAAGCAAACTACAAAACTGACTCAAAAAGAAATAGAAAATTTAAACAAATCTATAACAAATAAAGAAATTGAACTATCAATAAACTTCTCACAAAGAAAAGCCCTGTCCCAGATGGCTTTACTGGTGAATGTTTGGTGAATTCCACCAAACATTTAAAGAAAAATTAACACCAAACTTGAAAAAGTCTTCCAGAAGAATAGAAGAGGAGGGAATACTTTCCAAATTACTCTAT